CTGCTATTATTGAAGCATGTTATTTAGCTAGCAATACGAAAACTAGGATTTTAACCAGTGACAAAGTTATGACGAATTATTCATGAGGCGTTGTAACGCTTGCTTAGATAATTCCCGGCTAATTCCTATTGCTTAATATTCTCTGACCACAATACACTGGACCAGTTCCAAAGAATCAAAAACACGGTGGAACAGTAAAAGATTATATTCCAAATAGCCAAAGTTAGATGGAAATAAGAAGCCGAAGGCGAAGGGCAAATAGATACAACGATAGTTTCTTTATAGCATTTACGTGAGAAGCTTCTGGATGGTAATTCACGTGATCGACTGGATTAGATTTAGCCAATCAGCACGCAGCTAACAACACGAGAATTTTCTACCGTGTTTTCCAAGAATCGATCAGGCGCTGACTGGATAGGAAATTAGCCAATCGGTGCGCAGCTGACGCAGTCATGAGGAAAATGTTAGAAATTATTTTTAAAACGTTGATGACAACACTAACATGACAGTCAGTATGTTAATGTTGGGGGTAAGGTTTTAGAGTGTTACGGTTAGAAGTTAGGTATAAGAGCGTTAAGGTTTGATTATCATTGTTAAGAGCGTAAAACCCGGAAACAGTTTGCAAAAGTGATTTATCGTTTAGAAACTAATGTATTATTAGTGAATTGCCTCATATCCAGTTCAAATTTGTTTCAAATGGCTAAGTCGTTTTATAACTCTTTATAAGTTGCTCACTAGTATTATTTAGGATCAGATTACTTACTTACTTTTGCACTAGAACAAGTAGAAATGTCCCCAAGTCACAAAAATTACGGAAGAGTTAGAATAGATCTTTACTCCTGTAAGTATAAAAACTGTACAGAGAAAACCGTACGTAATTATGGTTTTGTGTATGGGGCGAAGACAGTATAATAAAATCATCTAATATTCAGTGGACAATGTTATGTCATCATCCAATCACCACCTAATGCCGTATCGATATTCTAGAAATACTACTGAGCCGTGATCGGATGGAAACTCTTCAACTTCTTGGTAGTCTCTGGAGGCTTTTCTAGGTACCACTGTAGTGAACGAGAACACAGGTGGGGCAACCGAATTGTATTTAACGAAAATTACAGAGTTACTCAGTAAAATAGGAAAACCATATCGTAAATCGTTAATTTGCAAAACATCAATCCATTGTCTGACATTTCACCACTGTTCATGCGTTTCATACAAATTCCATTGTGTTCCCACTCTTCCTTTCTCTTGATCTTCCCCCATCTTCTGCTGCCAGACATTACGTTTACACTCGCGTCGTATACTACTTATAAGTAGCGCGCACCACAGTAGTAGTGAAATTACACAAACTATTACATGGATGTCACACTTATGAACAAATCAAGATTGGATTAAGATAGCACAAATTATTATTTAGGAAATATGTACAGACAGACATTAAGTGTTCAATTGTTTAGACGAAAGTCACCGATGGTTAGAGACCTTGAACGTGACATGGCTCAGAACTGCTTGCAATGCCGCGGGTGCATCCACTCTTTGTGTGCTTTTTAATTCTAACCTTCTGAACTCCTCATCATCTCTATCTTTCTCCTTCTAAATTTATCTCACTGAATTATACTTCTCGAATCATATCTTCGCTCCTTAATCTTCTCCATTACTGCTAATAATTTTACTATCGCTATCATTCTTGGATTTGAACTGACAGTTGTGTCTCTGTGCTGACGTGGTATGGCAACCTAAACTGTTCTGCGTTGTATCTGTCTGTCTGTTCAATTGTTGATTTATGCGTACAGCAATCTAAGCACATTATTGACTGCTTTCTGTAGTCTACTATTTTAATCTTCAAAAAGCACTAGTCACGTACGTTATGCAACTCGATCTCCTGAAATATTTCCGACTGGTGACGACGTTCCACTACATACTACTTATAAGCCATTTAGTAAATAACATCCACCATAATGTTACACTACGATTGTTTAGTAATTAGATTTGTATGGGGCATACTATCAGGTAACTGAACCAACGGATGAGTAAACATCCTGTAGCATGGTTTGGAAAAGGTCAGATAAAAACAATGCACAACTCTATCTTGACAAACTTGGTTCATATTGGTCATAACAGAGATAAAATCGAATTATTGCGAGTGATCTATCGCATATCTCCATCATTTCCAAACAGAATTCGATCCCATCACCTAAATATCGCAAGAGCTATGAGAATCCGGACATCCAACCAAAATCTAAATGTTCAGCAGAAATTCGTGACACTCCTGTCTCTTCCTTCGCCGGATATGACTTAATATCCATCATAGAGTTATGGAGACTGAAGCGTTCCACTGAAATGATAAATCAATCACTGTTAGACCATCGTCAGAAATATGCAACCATTAGACAGCCGTTTTGTCTTAAGGTGGGACTCATCAGCAGTAAACATCCACGGCCACCGCACGCAGGAATCGAACCCATGACCTTGGGTCCCGCGCGCGAACGCTTAACCAGTAAATTACTGAGACGGCATCCAACGATGTTAATGTCTAGTTCTCATTAATCTAAGGTTTTGCGCAACCTCACCTCAATACCTACGCCCGTCACAAAAACTCCGAGAATTTCTTCACAAAGCTAGTCACTAGTGAGTACATTGTATCATACTCATCATAGATTTAAGGAGATTGTTGTCTTCCATTGAAATCATGAATTGAATAGAGAACATAAGATAGAAAAAATTTAATCATTTCGGGTGGTCTATCGTATACCTCCATCATTTCTGAACGAACTTAGAACCAGTTGCTTAATATACTGGAAAAACCAATATGAAGCCAAACGTTCAACCCAAATTTATGTATCCGGAAAAAATTCCAGACATCCCTATCCCTTCCTTGGCCGGAGATAACTCAATAAACGATTCGATTATTACTAGTAGTATCATTAACACATCTCGTTTCTGTTTGACATTTTTTTCGCCTCCTTTCCTCCATATTCTCCACCATCGAAATATTTCACACCTTTATTATTACGTAAATTGTGATTAGCATTTCAACTATACTTATCCAAGTTTGACCCCTTAATTTCAATGTGTAACGATTGACAAAACCTTTTGTTATTTTATTTTATTATTTTTACCACTACTATCAAAGAACAACTATCTTCCTACTATCAATTTGTACTTTTTTCCCTATTGCTACAGTTACCAATCTATACTATTTTTAACTGTGACTCATAATCAGTTGCCTTGATTTGATTTATAGCGCTGTTATTTTTCTACATCAGCGATATTCATGAATATTAAAGAGTAAAAGCTTGTTGATGATCTAACTGTTGGGGGATGTTAGATCTCCAGAACTCGTTTGATAAATGGCTTTATTTTAGATTTTATTCATGTGCTGATCAGTTGAACTTGAGACGACATTTCCCACCAGGAAAAGCCATGGCTGTGATTTGTTACTGTGTTATTTTAGTGTGCTGTTTTTGTGACTGTCCAAAGGATGTCTCTATGGTGTATAAATAAACGCGGTTTGTGTGCCTGTTGGGTGTTTGTAGAATACACATTCTACGCTATATCAAGACTTCTCGTAAGTTCCTGTGGTTCAACAGATCAGAGTAGCCTACCTGGAGGCTGGTTTATTGTCTCGTCCTCGTTTATCGACTAAGGTGGATGACAGCATGTTTACGATATGGTACAGATATATATATATATATATATATATATATATATATATATGTATAGATATATATATATCAGGTACACACCTGTTTAATGTATGATGTCATTACATTAATGTAAAACTCATTAGCATATAGCATAGCATTACATCACTGAAGAATATAAATAATTAAAAGAAGTCAATGAAATATGACGGTATAATAATAATAATAGTAATACTGAAATCATGAATCAATCATTGTTAGATCAACATTAGAAACCTTAAAGCACTGAAAAACGGCCGTTTCGTCCTGGTATGGGGCTAATCAGTGCGCACTCAGGACTCCTGCAACTAGCAAGATTCGAACCCAGGACCTTCAGTCCTAAACGCGAACGGTTGACCTCTTGACTGCTGAGCCTGCCGACATCCGACGGTGTCAATGTCTAACTCTAATCAATCTAGAGATTTTGCACAACCTCACTCATTTATCTTCGGTAAATAACTGCCTACACTAGACAGGCTTAAGCTCAACAAAGTCCCATAACAGGATGAAATGGTTGTCATTGATTCATGATTTCAGTCGTATACAACCATTTCCGTGACTTTACAATCAAAAAAACATTAAAATAGTGTTCTTTTTGTAAAAATCAGTTAAATTTTGAATTATTTGTTGATTTACCAATGTTTATCGCTTGTAGTACGATTCAATTCAACAATGCATAAATGAAGCCAATTTACTGGTGTCTAAAAAGTTAAAGAGTAATATGAGGAAAACAATATTGATTGTTTTTACGGAATAATCAATAGAAAATGATCATAAATAAAGAATTTTCAACAATGTACTACTACTACTACAATTACTAATCCTGAGTAGTTTGGTTTGCCCAACCCTAGGCAACATATCCCAACCACTTCAACTGATAAGGTTTCAATACTTCATCTATTTATTTGCCATTCTTAGCTAGTACACGTTTCCTTATTTCTTACACCGATGATTGAAAACCAGTAGCCTAAGAATATCTTCTACTCTAATTGGTCATGTTTTACACCCACATAATGGGACGGAGCGAACTACTGCGCAGTACACTACTCTTTTCGTTAGAAAATGGACATTTCGCCTGCGCCATATGTGACGAAGGTTGACAAAAGCCAATCGAGCCTTCTGTATCCGAGCTGAAATTTCGTCAGTCACCAGGCCATCAGCACTGATGAGACTCCCGAGATAAGTGAAGCGGTTTGCACGCTCGACTACTTCACTCCCTATCACTAGTTCAGGTACCGATGAAACCCAATCTTTAAGCAAACATTTTGCATATGGACGGGGAGAATCGCATCCCGAACATGCATGCATTGTTGCGTAGGGTAATCAGAAGACTGCATTTTTTCGGCGTCTTCACCGAATAGAACTATGTCATCGGCATATTGTAAGTCAGTAAGCAAGACTCCTGGTGGAAGGTCTACTCCTGAAAATTCAGATGAAGATAATGTTGTCTATAAAGCATATTTACGACAAAGTAAAACGAGAATGGGGAAAGTGTGCAACCCTGAAGTACGCTACTAAAGGTAATCAATCGCGAAGACAGATTGCCATAAGCTCTCACTCAACCAGTAATGTTCGAGTAGAGAGCTTGTATAAGGTTAATGTATTCCTACTTTGGTACATCTTTCAATGACAAACACTACCAAAGAATCTCACGATCGACCGAGTCAAATGATGTCTTCTATTGTGGGATATCTGAATATGTGTCTACGTTCTAGGAACTGACGAAGTATGAATACCTGGTACATACACCCACATTCAGGTCGTAAACCAGCCTGGTTTTCTCGAGCTCCAGTTAAACATCGAAATATTATTGAAGCTAATATTTTAGACATTATATCAGTTAAACTGATTCTTCTGTGATTGTCACAAGAGGATTTTTGTCATTTCTTATAGACTGGGACAATCAGATTACTAATAATGAATTGAAAAAAACAACGTATGAATTGAAAAATCTAACGAAATCTAGAAATATCAACCTCTTAGTTGAGATTGTCTGGATTTCTATCCGGATTTAGAGATTATTCAAAAGGTTATATTCACTTATTCAATTCTACAGCTGGAAATCATCCGTAAATATAATCCCTTTATTAAAAGCTTTAAATTAACCGACTGAGTTTAGTTAGGATCCTAGTTGAAACTAGCAGCGTCATAACTACATGCTTCATCGCCCATATGGAACTTCATAGTAACCACATCCCAATCGATGGCATTGTATGATTTTTAGGATATTCATCTAATATCCTAAGAGAATTATTGATCAAATCCTATTGGTCGATTTCTATTGGTCAAAATTATGGTCGTTTTAACTGTCAAAGTCAAATACTTCAATGTTGTCTCTTATTGGTCATCCGGACTGTCAATGTCATTTCAAATGTTCTTTCTTATTGGTTGTCCTGACTATCAATGTCACAGACTTCGATGCTGTTTCCTATTCGACCAAAATGTATAAATACATATTATGTGTAACGTTTTACGACCCGGACCCGGATCCCTAGTCCGGGATCCTGATTCTCTTCTGGATTCGGACCTCGTACTTTCTGGATACTTGTAGAATACAGATTCTACTTCATATCAAGTCTTCTTATTTTTACTCAATATGGGCGGTGGGATAATCGGATTTCAGAGTAGCATGTCGTGTCACCGGATCCTCGATCCTCGCTCTCGTTTTTCCGTCTAGGTAAACTCGTCATAGTTCAAGTACATCAAGTTGACATGCTTACGTGCAGGCATAACAATGATAGCCAAGCTATATAATGAAAAAAACCTAACAGCTCTAGGTGTGGACCTTGAAAATCGTTTGCGGTTGCACATTGCTACAAAGTCCTATACTATACAAGGACGAAAGTGATTTCCAGTGCGACCGGTCGATAAAAAAAATTCCAATCAATCTCTGAAGTATAAACTGTAGTGCACGAGAACACAGGTGGGGCAACCGAATTGTATTTAACAAAAATTACAGAGTTACTCAGTAAAATCGGGAAACCATATCGTAAATCGTTCATTTGCCAAAATATCTGTCCATCATATCGAACTGGACTGTTCCTGTTGCAAACAACATCAATCCATTGTCAGTATTCATGCGTTTCATACAAATTCCATTGTGTTCTAACTCTTCCTTTCTTAATCTTCCCCCATCTTTTGCTGCTGCCAGACATTACGTTGACACTCACGTCATATACTACTTATAAGTAGCTAACACCACATAAACCCCAACCTACATAGAGTAATTCCCCGTTTTCACAAAAGCTCAACATTTAAATTTTCCTACGTATCAAATCAAAATCCCGGCCCCCCCCCCAAAAAAAAATCAATAGAATAACTGGATGAACTGAGTAGCTTACATGACTGACTAAGAATAAAATATGTTGGTCTGGATTATCGTGGAAAAATGGACCGAATTTCACTAGTAAACCATTGTATGGCTAGACAAACAGAGAGATAAAAATAGAGAGAGAGAGACATATCACAGTTTAATAGACAAAAGAATGAACAAAAAAATGTCTATGTATTTATTGATCAGCTCATAATGATAATCAAAAATCATACATCATACACATACTACTATTAGTTTGATTTTAATAGTATAACGTGGAGAGAGCGAAAAAAAGGAGAAAAATTTACCAAACTTTTCTCTAAAGCATAAAAATTCTCATATTTCGATAGGAGGATTCAAGCATTGCAAATAGAATGTTAAAAAATGTCGTATTTGTTTATCTTTGAGTAGATTGATCACACAATGAAGTATATTTTTCAATTTTATCTTTGTTAAGGACATATCAATCAATAAGAGAATTGACAGAAAACTCATTGATTATAGAGATTGTTGTTTTTCATTGAGAAAACATAAATCAATTACTGTTAGACCACCATCAGAAACTTAGGAGGATTAGACGAGAGTTTCATCCTAGTATGGGTCTCATCAGCAATGTGTATGCACGACATAACAGGCGGGAGTGGAACTAAGGACCGCGGGTCTCACGCACGAACGCTTAACCTTTTAGACCACTGAGCCGGCATTCAATGGTGTTAATGTCTAACTCTGATCAATCTTAGGTTTCGATCAACCTCATTCACTTTCTTCTGTAATTACTGCTGGTTCAGTGGTCAAGCATTTGAGCGTTCTCGCGAAAGATCGACGGCCTGGCTAGACAAGTCCAGTGCTCCCAAGTTTTTAATAGTCGTCAAACATTAATTAGTTCATGAAATATATCAAAGCGTTAAATTGATTTTTTCAGTCAGATTTTTATTGATAAATTTATTCTCGGATTGATATTCACAAACATATTCAGTCGTCTTTATTACAAGTTAAACAACTGAAGAAAGGAATATTGAGTTAATAATGTTCTCTCAATGTAAATTTTCACGAATACGTATGACACAAGTTTGCATAGAATAAATAGACAGTGATAAGCAATGAAATTCAGGATGCGCATTTCGTCCTATTCAGTACTCGCATTCGACTAGATGCACATACATCACAGAGTTGATGTTCCCTTTAGGACTCAAACTTAGTACCGTAGGCTTTGAACACCACTGTGTTATCTACTTAGCTACGAATTACTGATAGCCACACACTTGTACAATGGGTATTCGATGTAATTCAATTTGAAGTGATATAGACTATTCCGTTTTTGATATTTTGATGTAGGTGAGCATCAAGTCTAAGATACTGATACCTCCATCTGACAAGCTACAAACGGGATGAAAAGCGCATCCTCCGTTAAAAGTTAACAAATCCGAAATTGGTTGCTTTTATACCTTTTAACAAAGAAAAAAAAATACTCTTTTAAATCATGAAATGATCTTAGCTCAACTACGATTGGGAATCAGAAAGCCCTGAATGGCCGATTTGTACTAGTAATGGCAACCATCAGGTGCGTCCGTCCACGACGATCACAGGCGACAGAACCCAGAACCTGCAGTCTCGAGTGCAAATGCTTAACTTCTAGACCATTGATAAGGGACAATCCAGTTGTTGATAGTTGGACCCAAGTGAACCATTGACTCTGAGATACAGACACATCCAGCTGACGAGTTACAAACCGGACGAAAAGAGCACCCTCGGTTCCACCGTTAGCCACATCCTATCTAATCTTAGAGCTTGTCGTTAGTGACCATATAACTATTATCAGCATAGGGTAGAGTAAATCACGAACTGGTCTTAGGTATACCAGTAATGAAAACTATTTCATCCTCTGATCATACTCCTTGACAAATTGCACCCATAAACCACGCAATCCAGGACAAAACAAACAGTCATTCAATGCCTTCAGCTTATTATTTGTAGTGGCTTTAACTGAAATCAGTTCGTGTCATGAAAAGCCTGTGATCACCACACACACAAAAATAATTAAAACTCCTATTAAAGAGTATCGTAGTAACAAGTGTCTTATTTTTGATTTTGTTGACCTCATATCATTATTGCATATGACCTTTGGTCTGACCTTGATAGATTGTTTTGAGAAAGCATAGAAGATAAGGGGTAATAGAATAAAATCTTTAAAAATTATTTTTATAAAATATACAACAACAGTATTAATTAGTTAGTTCAAAACTACATTCAACTTTTAGGTGTCTCCGAAGCATTGCTCGGATATCATGGGACAGCCGAGCAAGCAATACTGTTGTTAGCAAAAGAGTATTAGGTACGGATGACAAATCAATAAATGAAGTATTGAAACTTCATCAGTTGAGGTGGTTTGGGCATGTCTTATGTATGCCTAACCACCGACTGCCTCGTCAAGCTATGTTTTATGGTGTAGGTGTAGGTTGGAAGAAAGCTAGGGGCGGTCAGACCAAAATATACCAGAAATCCATGAAGTCATTGACAAGTGCACTGAGTCATGTCGGTAGATGTAGACTACCTGGTTGGGGTCCACGAGATGATAGTAATCGACGGTCAGAGGCCTTGAACGACACGGCTCAACATCGTTTGTATTGGCGCATGTATATCCATACTTTGTGTTCTCTCTAATTCTAACCTTCTGAATTTCTCATCATCTCTATCTTTCGCTTTCTAAATTTATCTCACTGAATTATACCCTATTCTTCTCGATTACTGCTAATACTTCTACTATCGCTACCACTATGGGATTTGAATTGACAGTTACGTCTCTGTGCTAATGTGAATGGCAACCTGAACTGATGTAAATACGTACGAAGTTTTGTGTTGTATATGCCTGTCTGTCTATCTGTCTACATTCAACTTTATTAATGTAAGAGGTGAGGTGTGTGTGCAAAGCACTAGATTAATTTATCTAGGATAAGATGAAATTCGTAAGTTGATTGATTGATATTAATACAACCAGATAGTTGAAGCAAATGGATCTCGTTTGTGTTGTCGAGATCATCATGACAGTTAAGCATGACCATTTTGTAGTGAAAATATAATATCAATTCAATGTGGTTTTTTTTGACAGTTGATATAAAGTATCAAGAAGAAAAGTATGAACTTATTATCGATAATCTTATTGGAATCTTTATTTTAGTCTACGATCTGATTTCAATTTGTATTGATGATTAGACAATCTATGAAAATAGATTTTCCTTTCAATGTCTGTATATTATAATTAGGCGGAGCCTTGTTTTTGTACGACTAAGGTAATACGAAGTCATATATAGATTCAATTGGATGAGTTTATTTCATTCACAAGTTCAGGTAGACAGAGATGAGAGTGTAAAGCGTAAAAAGCAAAGCGAAGCGAAGTGAAGAAGGTAAGTGAAACAATTCAATGTGATGAGGCATGACTACGTATTGATCGTCAAACGAAAATAAGTTAGACATGTAATAACCCAAGTAAGCAATGCACATACACACTTGAATGAAAATAACCAAGATATAAGCAAATCATTGGCAAGTTTGAGTCAGTCAGACAGTCAGTCATTTACAATGTAGAAGTTCGTACGTACGTACATCAGTTCAGGTTGCCGTACCACATTAGTACAGAGACACAAATGTCAAGTCAAATCTCATAGTGATAAAGATAGTAGAGGTATTAATCATAATGAAGAAGACTAGGGTTTAAAGATATTATTGAAGAAGTATAATTCAGTGAGTGAGATAAGGTTAGAAAGACAATGGTAGAGGAGCTGACGAATCCAGAAGACTAGGATTTGCAAACGATTTTGAGCCATGTCTTCCAAGGTCTCTAACCATCAATGACTTTCGTCTCGTGGACCCCAACCACGTAGTCTACATCTACCGACATGGTTCAGTTCACTTGTCACTGACTTTAAGGATTTGTGCCATGTTTTGGTTTGGCCGCCCCTAGCTTTGTTCCAACCTACACATACACCACAAAACATAGCTCGTCGAGGTAGTCGGTGGTTGGGCATATGTAACACATAAACCAACCACCTCAACTGAAGTTTCACCTCTTCATCTATTGATCTGCTATCCTTACCTAGTACTCGTTTCCTAATCACAGCGTCGCCCACTCGGTTGTCCCACGATATATGAGCAATGCTTCTTAAACATCTATGATCGAATACTAGTAACATACGAACATCTACTCTTAACGGCCATGTTTCACAGCCATACAGGAGAACGGAACGAACTGCTGCGCAGCACACCCGTCCTTTGATTAGAAAACTGATATCACGCCTACGCCGTAAGTGACGTGAGTTGGGAAAAGCCAATCGAGCTTTCTGTATCCGAGCTGAGATTTCGTCAGTCACTAGGCTATCAGCGCTGATGAGACTCCCCAGATAAGTGAAGTGAAGTTCTTGTGCAACCTAGTTTACTGACTGATTAACTGTCATCTTGACTGTCTATACACACATAAAAAAAGAAACTTAATCTCAAAAGTCACAGAATTATTGTACAAGCTGTCAATGTCCAATTTTAACACAGTCTCTAGCTTGATACATCATACATTCATAGAGAAGAGAGATGCTCATACTTACCACATAAAAATCCATAATAAAATCTGATTGATTTGTTTTATCAATCCATAGCATATTGGATGAAATGAATTGTGAAGAATCTGAATTGAACCCTTGATAATTATCTTCATCGTCATCATGATCATGATCAATGTTGATAGATGATGTTAAAGGTTGTGTGATGAACAGATTACGAAATACATTTAAACGATTGATCGGATGTGCTGATGAAAGCTGATAGAGAGAGAAAAAAAAAAGAAAGCAAAGATATTGACTAGATAGAAGATGGTTTTGAGGGGTCTGTCTATGTTAACAGTTACCATTGTTAAGAGTAATAGTAGTAGTATTTTTGGTTTTGCAAGAGACAGGCTTTCAACGATATCCACATTTTAGTGAAGACTTTAGATATTGTTCATTTTTTGGTGATAAAAAAAACCCAATGGAAATTAAAAGAAATACTAGACAATTATTTCGATTTGATGTAAGATTTATATCAGTGGTGAGCATATATATTGATTACTTATTCATTGCTCAGGGTAGTCAGAAGATTCTGCAAATAGAACTATGTCATCGGCATATTGTATCAACAAGCGAGTCCGCTGGTACAAAGTCTACCCCAGAAATGTCAAACGAAGATAACATTATATATAGAAGCAGGTCTATGACAAATTTTTAGGACAGGAATTAAGAAAGTGGACATCCCTGACGGACAATAGTTGAAGTAAAGAAATCCGACGACAGTTCGTCATAAGCTCTCACCCGACCAGTAGTATTCGAGTAGAGAGCTTGTATAAGGTTAATGTACTTCTTTGGTACACCTTTCAATGACAAACACTGCCACAGAACCTCACGATCCACAGAGTCAAATGCCGACTTTTTAGGTCCAGGAAGACGACTACTGTCGGACGTCTAAAAGTGTGTTTGTGTTCCAGGACCTGTCGTAGTGTGAAAATATGGTCTATACAACCACGTCCAGGTCGAAAACCAGACTGGTTTTCTCTACTCTACTCTTCACCAGCTCTAGTTAGGCATCTAAGTAATATAGAGGCTAACAATTTAGACACTATATTAATTAAACTGAGTTCTCTCAGTTCTGTAAATGTCACAAGAGGACTTCTGCCCTTTCTTACAAATTGGGACAATCAGTGATGGAGACCAGTCAGATGGGATTACGTTCAGTTCCTAGGTCCTACCTAAGATTTCAATCAATCTAACTGCCTAAACTGGACCGAATTCTTGACGTTCTAACCAGGTTGATGGTTACGGAGAATCCGTTTAGTGAACTCAGAAAGCCATCACTTCAAACCAATAGTGCTCCACGATCCTGAAGGAACAAATAATGTGTGAACCTAATGTTGGCCACCGGCTACCATGAAACTCTACATCTCCTGACATTGCTCCACTGCCTCGTGAAATCAGTCTCCTAATAAAATCTACCATCTACTTCAATCCAAACAGCTAGACAGGTGTATCCCAACCCATTGAAAAATTCAATCATTTATAGAACGTTTTAATATTTAAATACTACTTCGTATCAATGTAAAAAATACATTATTGGATAGCAAGGTGAATCACCGTAATGTTAATCATCATCACTACTAATACTACTACTACTTCTACTACTACCACTACTACTACGACTACTACTTCTGTAGTGAAGGAGAACACAGGTGAGGTCAACCAAATTGTATTCAACGAAAATTACAGAGTTACTCAGTAAAATAGGAAAACCATATCGTAAATCGTTAATTCGCAAAAATATCAGTCCATCATATCGAACTGGACTGTTCCTGTTGCAAACAACATCAATCCATTGTCACTATTCATGTGTTTCATACAAATTCCATTGTTTTCTAACTCTTCCTTTCTTGATCTTCCCCCATCTTCTGCTGCCAGACATTACGTTTTTACTCGCGTCATATACTACTTATAAGTAGCGCGCACCACACTACTACTACTAGTACTACTAATACTACTCACTAACAACACACCACCTTATCAAATTCAATCGTCTTTTTCATCGAATTGCATATCAATAAATCATAGGTAAAAAAAATTCGGACAATAAAAATACAACTGACTACTATGTATCTTTTCTCAATCTTGTACATAGAAAAAAATCATTTCAATTGAAAATACACGTTCAATTCATCTTTTAGCATCGTTTTTAGCACATTATAGCAACCTCCTAATGAAATTTTCATTTTCGGTTACATGGTATGAATTATTTAAAACAAGTCATTGAATTTTTTTTTTAAAAAAAAACATGACATGACATACATACATACTACTAATTTCTATTGTTATCAAGTAATATAAGTACTATCATAGATAATTGTTGTGTTTAATGGGTATTGTCGTTGTTCAACAATTGTGTTATGCGTGTGTGTGTGTGTGCATGAGTAAGTGTATGTATTTCAGTGATTAATTAAAATTCGTCTTCTCGGCACGGCATTTATCTTCAGTTCAAAATGGAAATAAATTTTAAAATACTATGAATTTTGATAAGAAGTGGCTGATTTATTTGGAAATGATTCATTTTTATGTAAAAATGAAAGTAATATCAACCATGCATCTTATTCAAGATTTTAAAAAATACACTGAACATTAGTGAATGTATATACATACATACAAATATAAACACATAGTGTGTTACGCCTGCACGTAAGTAAACACGTCAACTAGATATACTTGAACTATTGCGGGTTTACCTAGTCGGAAAGTGAGAGAGAGGATCGAGAATCTGGCGACACAACATGCTACTCTAATCCGATTATCCCAACCCACCCAAAAAGAAGAAGATTGGATATGAAGTAGAATCTGTATTCTACAAGCATTCAGAAAGTACGAGGTTCGAGTCCAGAAAAGAATCAAGATCCCGGACTAGGGATCCGGGACCGGGTTCTGGTCTTGGTCGTGGTCATAAAATGTTACAAATAATGCGTATTTATACATTTTGGTCGAATAGGAAACAGCATCGAATTCTGTGACATTGACAGTTAAGACGACCAATAGGAAGTAACACTTGAAGTGACATTCTTAGTCAGGACAACCAATAAGAAAGAACATTTGAAATGACATTGACAGTCCGGATGACCAATAAGAGACAACATTGAAGTATTTGACTTTGACAGTTAAAACGACCATAATTTTGACCAATAAAAATCGACCAATAGGATTTGACCAATAATTCTCTTAGGATATTGGATGAATACCCTAACATAGTGAAAAGCTCTGATGGAGCTGGACGATTTTAAACTACGCAGATGATTTAGCTCTTTTATCTTACACAACAACAACAACAACAACAATAAATGCAAGTTAAGATGACCAGCGTAAATAAGCAGTAGCCTCTGCTGTAGCAGGTCTCAATGTACCATCAATCAATTCACAAAAAAGAATTTCGTACGTAGGTACGTACGTACATCAGTTCAAGCTGCTTTACCATATAAGTACACGAAAACGTAATTCTCAATTCAAATGCCATTGGCACACAGAGATGTAATTGTCACTTCAAATTCCATAGTGATAGAGGTGGTAGAAGTATTAGCAGTAATCGGAGAGATTAGGGTTCGACGGTATTATTCAAGAAGTAGTATCTAATGAAACAGACTGAAAAAAGATAAAGGGGATGGGGACGCTGGTTCATTGTCCCGTTCGCGTTTATCAACTAAGGTGAACTCGTAATAGCTTCAAGTGTACCTAGTGACGAACGTAACATAAAACATGCAAATTGTGCTACAAAGCTACAAATTTTCTCCACTATCTCATTGTTCTTGATCAAATAACTTGAATATGATTGCACGCTGAAGCTCCTCCATCTACACCGCAAAACTAATTGGATAATGAAACTGTTAGTGGGACATAGATGGAATTAAAGCATGACTACGTTTCTGCGCGCTGATTGGCTAATTTCCTATCCAATCAGCGCCTGATCGAATCTTGGAGAACAGGGTAGAAAATTCTTGTATTGTTAGCTGCATGCTGGCTGATTGGCTAAATCTAATCCAGTCGATCACGTGAATTTCTATCCAGAAGCTTCTCATGTAAATGCTATAAATCGATCAACGTTGTATCTATTTTTGCCTTCGCCATCACCTTCGGCTTCGCATTCCATTTAACCTTGCTATTTTGGAATATAATCTTTTCCTGTTCAACCGTGTCTTTGGAACTAGTCCAGTGCATTGTTTGTGGTCAGAGAATACTAAGCAATAGGATTTAACTGCGAATCATGTAAGCAAGCACTACAACACAAACTGAAAATGTTTTTCCAGCATTTACCAAATAATACAATTCGATGAACAAAAAATTACATGGTATACTTCAGAAAAAAATTTTTATGAATCTTTCTTATTAGTTTTTATGTTCTATACAGTACAACAATATGACAAGGTGAACTTTGAAGGAGGTGAGTGTACACAATTACTCAGCAGTTTTACGTTAATTTTTCTTATCAAAGACTGCATGCACAGTTGTGAAATATGACTTTGAACGATAAAATACACAGGTGTGTGAGTACATTTGTTAGTAGTATTCAACAATAGATAGGTAGGTATCTTAAACAGTGTATGGTTTATATGAACTACCAAGAGGTCAAGCATTTATCAATAAGTCAATTAATCAAGAGCAATGTAGAACTTCGTACGCACGTAAGGTATCTAATGAAAAAAATGACAACTTAATTACCTGAATAATAAAAAAACTTCTTTAAAATGGTCAAAACATGTTTTTTTTGTGTGTTTACTACTACTACTACTACTACTACTAATACTACTCACTCTGTTAGTCGAAATTAATAAGTAGTAAGATGAATTGATATTTGAAAGCGACAATGAACACGAATAATCATGATGTTATTTTCTTGTGCGTTTAATATGTGTATGTTAAGTATGATATTTTTTAGGCTCATTAACTGAAGAAATAATCTGTTCGATTACTGCTAATACTTCTTGTTAAGATATTCATCGAATATCCTAAGAGAATTATTGGTCTATTCCTATTGGTTAAATTCCTACTGGTCAATTTTATGGTCATCCTAGATATCAATGTCACGTACTCCAATGTTGTTTCTTATTGGTTGTCCTGATAATCAATGTCAATTAAAATGTTACTTCCTATTGGTCGTCTTAACTGTCAATGTCACAGACTTCGATGCTGTTTCCTATTCGACCAAAATGTATAAATACGCATTATCTGAAAAGTTTTATGACCAGGATCAGGACTCGTTCCCGGATATCT